AAGCACAAAATAAAACAACCCTCTCCCCCCAGCCCTGAAGTCAAGTGTCTGTGGTTCTAAATGCACTTTGTCTATGTCACCCCAGCTGCTAAATGCTTGCTATTGATTTATCTCTTGCATGCTTTTTTTTTTCTTTTCATTTTCTGCCCTTTTTTTTTTTTTCTTCTCTCTCTTTACATTCAGGCCACTTGTTCTATAGGTACAATGTGTAACTTTAAACAAAGGCCACAGAGTGACTGCTTGCAAGAGGACAGCTCTCTTGTTGTCTGAGCCAGCAACACCTTGGCAAGCAGATGCATTTCCGAAGCTCCGACAAGGGATATTCTGTGCAGAGCCTGAGCAAGAGGTGTTGCTTATCTGGCCCTGGCACAGGATCCCATATGTTTGTTCCCACTGCTTCTATCCATCTTGTTGCACTTGGAAGAAGGCAAAGGGAGGGACATTTTAATTTGTACCTAACCACCACCGTTGCTCTGCACATCTCCGAGACACCCAAAAGCTAAAAACAACTAGATCTTGCAAGCTGCTGTATACCTTTCTTCAGATTTCATTGAGGCTGGAAATTAGTAAGTGTCCCATAAAACTGAGCTCTTCTGAGACCAACACGAATGTTTAAACAGATCTGGTCTGAATGACTCTATGTTCTGCAGCATCATGCAACTCTTTTGTCTTTTCCCTGGCCAGCTTCTCCAGGGAAGGAGCCTCCAGAGGTTCTCCAGCTGTGTGGGAACGACTGAGGAGCACTGGAGGAGTGACACATGAAGCAGGGTGCTGCAGAATGGGCTGGAGACTTCAGAGGGGACATCTCACAGGAGGAATTCCAGCTCTGAAGGCTTTAGTGTTTGCGTGGCTTGTTGTGACCGCTTTTGTTTTCAGCAGCTCTGTATATTGTTATAATACAGCCGGGCAGCATGGGAGTTGTTAAAGAAAAAAGATACTTTTTTTTTTTTTTTTTCTGCCCTATTTAGGAGCAAAAGGGAATACAATTCCTCTAATGTGGAGGTAAAATGTGGTGTGCAGAGGTATGAGCCACCTGGCTTGAGGTATATGGGAAAGCTGCTCTCTCCCCCCTCCCCACTTTCTCACCATCCATCAGAGCTGAGATCAATTCAAGTGTCTTGGCTGCAAATTTGGTTAGTAAGCGGGGAAACTATGCCTTTGTTCTGATGCTGGCAAACCCCAGCAAGCTTGATTATCTAAAATAAAACCATCTGCAGCCACTCTAATCAATGGCACATGCATAGCAGCAAAAGCTCTAAGCTCATGGCTCGTGTAAAATGTTCATTACATCAGACTGTTTTGCTGAAGGAAAGAATTTATGGGAGAGAGCAAGTGGCTCAGAATTACCCAAACTCATCGGTGGGACACATGCCCCACTGTGTGCTGTGGGACTCTTGGCCTCTCTGGTGCCTGGTCCAGCAACAATGAGGCTGGACAGTGGCTGGAGAAGCTGCTGTGAATGCCAGGGCATTTCTGGGGCACTGTTGGTCCTGGATTCAGGACTCAATATTTGGTGATGTTTCCAGGCAGGCTTAGAAAACAATAAGGGGTCGTGAAGTTTGCTCATGTTACTCATGGGGTGAATGAGCTTACACTAAAGATCTCACCAGGAAATGGGTTAATCTGTTTCCCCATGCATTAACCCCCTGCAAGCTGGGGGCTCATCTTTGGCTCCTCGTCTTGAGGGCGAGGTGCTGTGTGCTGATACCAGAAACCAGGTGGGTGTAACGGGTGGTCATGTTCTAGATCATAAAGTCTGACTTTTCAGGCATTCCTTCATGAACTGGAGCAGATATCCAACGTGACTTGCTTGTACAGGCATCCGCAATGAAGTACTTATACATCCCTTGCCAGCTCAGACCAGAACACAGAGGACAATCTTTTCCCTTGAGAAGCGCAATGCAGGTACCATGTCTAGTTCCAAAAATTTTCTTTAAAACTGATGGCTGATCAATGCAAGGAACAAGTTCCTGTGCTACTCCTGTCATTCCCTTGTCGTACAGCCTTGTGTAATAAAGGTAATGATGTGTCTGCCAAGACCAAATATTTCCTCAAGCATGAAAAAAATATATCACATTACCACTGGAGCTCACCTGCCCTAATGTCATAGAAGTTATTCACTGCCATCATTTCCATTCACGCTTTTTGTATCAAACTATTGTGCCAAAATTGACAGACATGGCAAAGCTGGAACAGCGAATCCATTATCTTGGCTGATGATAATCACAGCATCTATTCCTCTGAAAAGTAAAAAATTCTGGTCCCCCATGGTCTCTTTGGAGCAACATGCAGCCCCGTACTCGTTAAAAAATGTCTTTGACTTTTTCTTCGTGTTCGAACAAATGCTGAGCCTGGGAGATCTTCCCTGCTTTTGTGATCTTCCTCCCGCAAAACCCACCTTTTTGCTCAGCACTATGTGAAGTGGTCGCAGACGTGGTTGCTTTGTATTCGGAGGCAGCCTGAAAACTAGCCTTTTCCCTTCGAAATCTGATGCGCAGGTCAGAGGGGTGACTGGTCACATGCTTTCATCTACACTGCCTGACAGCTCCAATCCTCTTCTGCATATTCATTGCTGCCTCTTTCTCTGCAAAATGATGTACTTGAAAGTCTGCTCTGCATCTGACCACCTTGGGGACTGTTTTATGACAGCAGCATTTTATTTTTTTTTTAATTGTATTAATCTTTACATATTGAACGTGGCCCTGGGCTACACTGCATCGGTTTTGGGCTTGCATGTTTCTGTTTTTGAAGGGTTATTATGTTCCTTTATAGTAAAGATTGATTTAATCAGACAAAATCTCCCAACGTAGAACCAAAGTCCTAATTTAGCAAACCAAATCCACTCAGCAAAGCACGTAAGCACATGGTTTACGGAAAGCAAGTGCTTAACTTGTGATAGGGTCAATGGGTTTGAAGGATTTGCTCAGGGAGCCCTGCAGAATGAGGGGCAGGGGGGGATGTTAGAAGGGGGATTCTCTGCTATTTCTCTCACCAAATTTAGGTCACTTGCATACAGTGAAGTAGTGGTGGGAGCTATGGTAGTCGAAAGCAGGCTGGCTTCTTGTCTCTGCTTGTAGAGGCCAGTGCAGTATTCATGACAAAAGCTTGACAAGAGTTTTTCTAGCCCCACCAGCTTTAATGCAGGCAGTGGACCCGAGCACTTTTCAAGTAATTGCATTGCCCTTGCAGAAGATACTTTGCCTGGGTGAGATTTTCCTTCTCTACAGTAAATAAGGTAGCTAGATGGAAAAAAACCTTCCGGCCTCAGAAACATGAACAAGTCCCCCTGCGACTGCCAATTTGCATCCATATGAGAACTCCTCGCCCACAGCAAGTGCAAGGTAATCTGCTGGTTTAACCTCCACTGAGGAAAGGCTCAATAAATTCAGGTTGCCTCCTAATGGGAGTGTTCACAGGGACAGCTATCACGGATCAGCTGTTAGGCTGAAATGTGTTGCCCTCCAGTAACTTTGCTCATGTTTCCCAGCCCGCAGATTTGCTGCAGGCACATACTGCAGCTTTGGTATTTACTTTCCTGTAGTACCGTTTGACCGTTCGCTGAAGGAAGGTTCTCAGTTCGACAACAACACTCAGCAAGGGTGTGAATTTCCAAGTTTTACGCTCATATGTGCGGTTCAGAATTCATACTGCTGTTGGTTAGTTACATAAGATTTTTTCCAGCGAGGGAACAGGAGCGTTACCTTGACGTTCCTACAGCGAACCCACACAGCGTGAGCTGCAAACTGTGACTGCTCGCTATGCACTGCTTAAATGCTCCGCAGACTGATTATGATTCACCGAAGAAACCTGCAAATAATTTTAGATGAAGAGTCCAATCAAGAATCTATTTGCAGACAATTCACAAACACAAAAAGAAGTGAGATTCATTGGATAAATTATGCATTATGAATTATTCATCCCGCTCTAGTTAATGAGGTAAATGGTACTATCAGTGTTTAAAGTTAAGCTCATTTGTATATATTGGGCAGATCAAGGCTGAAGTAAGAGATCAGGTTTTGAGGGAGAAAATTGGGCTACGAAGACTTCAACAACAGAACTGCCAACTACGTGTGCAACCAGGGTTTCATCCTTCAGTTTAAAGTAGTGGCTTGTCTGTGCCCTTAAATCAGAGGGGCAAAAAAAGTTATTCTTAATTGCGGGTTTGGGTCTCCACATCAGATGCCATTCAATGGAACTATGTATTAAACCAAGAAATAAAACATGTGCAAGGAAGGGAAACTTGGGATGGTTTCCTTAAAGGTTTCATAACATACTTAATATGGGGACTGTTCCACACTGCTAATCTCGGGTCCTGACTGACTTTTTACTAGAGACAAATGATATCCAGGCATCCATCAGTGTAATAGTATGGAAAAATCCTGCTGAAGGGGCAATCATGAAAATCTGAGAATATTCTAAAACTTCCCTGTTTAAATGAGTTTACTTTGACCGACATTTTAAGACTTCCATACTTAAACCTTGGCTTTAGACCAGCAAAACACTTAAGCACATGCTTGACTTTAGTCACATGAGTAACTACTGAAATCAAGGGGAATGCTTCTGAGAGCAAATGTATATGTAAGCATAAGCCCATTCAGAAAATCCAGTGTAAATTTTTGGGTTTAGCCACTCAAAGATTTAATTGGAATTAAATGAGAGGTTGAGTAGATATTAATTTCTTTCAAAATATTTTTTATTTAAGAGTCTCAAGTTAGATTCAACACCTCCATTTAATCACACGAGTTTGAAAGTTTTCACTTTTAATCTTCTGCCACCCTGAGTAGCAGGAATCAGAGAATTCTTTATGGAATGGATGATTACTTTACTGGAAAAACCTTTAATTCCAAATCTAGCTTTTCCTTTTTATTTTCAATTTATGGATTTTTAAAAACTGACTTCTAAGTTCTAGGACTTCTCATTTTTTTTAATATGAAATGACATTTTCAAGAAACAGGTTTTTTGACATTGCTACACTAAATCTTTAGCAGGTAATGCTTGAAATTACAGGCCACAAATCTCAGTAAGTGCTATTTACTAACATGATAATTGTGGAACATTCGATGATGTGTTAAGTACCATGGAGTGGCAGTATAATTACAGTACATGGCACGTTACAATATAAATATAAAGTAAATACATGATTATTTCTGGCTTAGGTCACATGGTAAATACTAAGTGCAATTACGGCACCAAGTAATCTGCAGGAACGTGTAATTACTCTTGGGCTCAATTCATTTACAAATCCTTGTCCAGCTTTTCACACCACACGGGCTGTGGAGACTGTAGAAAACAGATTAATCATGGCTGCAGTGGCCTCCTTATTACCACAGCCAAACCTTATCTGTAGCTGGTGGCTCCTCTGCCCTCTCCTGTGGCCCAGGGGATGGAAGTGAAGGTTGGTGTTTTCGAGGCAGCGCCATGCAGGCAGAGGTCTATTCAAAGCTGGACCAAGAGCTCTGTCCAGCTGATTTGACAAACGTGGCTGATGTTATCTCATCCTTTTCATCTCAGTGGTTTTGCTTTAGTGAGATCATCTTGCCCCACTTTTGAATTACCACCAGCAGCAGGTACCCTGCCTTGCACTGAATGTTAGAAGTCAAAGGCTACAGATGCACTGGTCCCATTCTGACCCAGGAATTTGCTGTTTTGTAATCCCCATTCACATCCCACTGTTAGCTGGTAGGTATGGGGGGCTGAAGGGCATGGCTTGGATGGTATCTCCAGCATCTCCTCTGTTGCAGCAGCAAAAGAAGGCAGTAGAAACACCCGGAACATAGCAAAAATCCCTTGGTCCTAATGGAGAGCAGACATTTGGCTTGGATGATGTGAAACCATCAGTCTACGGACAGCCATAATGCAAAACATCAGAGAAAGGAAGAAAAAAGTAGGGGAAAAAAAAGTTTTAAAGCCACCAGGGCATCATTCTGTTTACCCAGCCAAGAGGACAACACCATGCCTCATACATCATCGGCCGCCTGCTCTCCCAAGCACCTGAGGCCTCAGAGAAGGTGATCCCTGCAGTATTTTGCTAGGCAAGATTGTTAGTATTAATCTTACAGTCTGTCAACAGGATCTGAACCTGGGACCTTCGCTGTTAAAGCCCAGATCCCCTGAGATAACATTAATGACTGCAGCTGTTTGCCATTAGCGAGTCATGCTCTCTGGGGACTGCTTCTGGGGTAGCTGGGATTTTGGCTTGTTTCTTCTAGGGTCAGCTGCAAAGCATTTGAAGTAGAGACGGGAGATGAGAAGCAGAGCTGGATGCAGCAGGAAAGCGCCGTGGTCTGAGCTGTGTTGAAATACACAGGAGGTACTGGCTCCTGAGCTGAGGTGGCTGACACTTCTTGGGGTCTGAGGAATAGAAAACTTCCTGAACATCGGATGGATGTTTCCTGAAGCTTTGAAATTCCTCAGACACTTGGGTGCAGGACCATCACAGCTGCACAGCAGGCATAGGACAGCTGAAGGACAACGTGGCTCTGGAATCATTAGGGAGGGTTCAGAGTAGGCACCACTGTGTTTTGGCTGCCCTCAAGAGCTAAAGTGATTCTCCTTGTCTGAAAACTGCTTTCCTGCCCTCAGCAGGCACAAGCACTGCTTGCAGTGGTATATCACACCAGGGCTTGCAGTGCCTTGCTCTGCCACGGGCTTCTCACACCACTCTCTACCAGCAAGGGGGAATGCCAAGCTCTGAGCCAAAACACAGGAGCAGGGATGTAAGGAAGTGATCCCCCCTCTCTCAGCTTTCTCATTTTGTCCTTCTACGCTTTCTTCTGTTATGCTTTTCTTTGGCTTGTTCTGTCTGATTTGCTTCAGTTTTTCTCTCGGCCTCCCTTGGACAGAAGAGAGGGAGAAATAACAAACAGCTTGAGGAAATATTTCCAGTGGTGTTGTGCACACCACAGTGCATGGGGAAGGTTAAGTGTGGGACCGTGAGGGTTCAGATGGGGGAGAAATAGTAGCAACACCAGTGATTCTGATTTAGCCTCAAAATGCATCTATCTCTTCTCAGTAAAACAGTGTAACACTCTTTTAAGGTTCCCAAGGCTTTGGATAACGTCCACAAAGAGGCATCAGATTATAATTTCTGGCTTGCATTAGGCTGGAATATGTGGCTGTATATTATATGATCATGGTGCCGAGAGAAACTCCAGAGCAAAAACCTTCTTATTTGTTACATGCCATTTGCTTATCATGAAATACGAAATGTACTTACACTGTGCTACAGCCTTGAGAAATCGTTATAAAAATCTGTCATCACAAGCAAAGACTCTTGCTTACTCTTGCCACGGTGAAGGCAATAACGAAGACATGAATTACATGTTACCTAACTGAAGGGAAAAGTTCCTTGCCCTAGTTGAGCAGACTACTGTAATTTTTCAAGATGCTGTGTCTAATGCTAAGTGTCTGAACACTCTCAGGTTGTTTAGAATCAATTGGCTTAAATCTTGTGTAATGAAAGTGTATTTGCCAAATAGGCTCAAGCTTATTGCCATGCAAATTAACATTTGCAGGGACAAATTTCCAAGTCCTTCCTCTCTTTGTTGCTTCTAAGATGTTACGGATACGATTTTGCACTTGCAGTTATGTGTGGGTGCAGTTCGTGTCATTTAAACTTCTAATTACGGCATCTGATTGCACCCACGTATCTTATCAGCTAGTTAGACACGTCAGTGACACACACCATAACTGCAAATAACTGGGGGTACAAAATTGCACCAGCAATTATTTGCACCCACTGAAGGAAAGGATGGATATAAAGCAGGCCATTAAAGTGTTTAAAATACTTTTCTTACAGTAGCATAAACCACTGCTACAGGGATATTACCTGCAGGAAAGGAGAACGAACATTAGGCTGAATTTTGAGCTGCAGCTGGGCTGGCTTGGGAGCGTGAATCTAACTGAGGTTCTCTTTATGGGTGCGAAGTGTGTCAGCCAGGTCTGGGTTTACTTCCCTGGCTTCTTCCCTCACACTTGGCTCCGTTCAGGGTCCAGACCTGAAAAAGTTCCTTCAGTCCAGCTGAAGCCAGCAGTGCTGTCTGTCCTGTACCCTTTGGCAAATCTATTTGAGAGACGGCACCTGCAAGCTCACTGTGAGCCCCGTCTGGCTTTGCAGCCTCAGGGCATCTCTTCACAGCACGAGGAGACACCTCCATGGGATACTGCTCCTATTGAAGGTTAACCTTGCATGTGTCCTGCTGAATATATAAATGGAGTGAGAATAGTATAAGTACAAAGAAATTAGGCTCTGCTTAGGATAATAGAAAGCAGCTTCATGATCTTCCTGTTATTAACTCAAGTAACAAATTATAGTCATCTGTGGGACACATCCCTCTGCCCAGATCTTTGTGATCTTGCCATTATTTCTTGGAAATCTCCAGAGATGTCACCAGCATGGTGGCAAAAATTGCTGAGTGATCATCTTCCACCCTGGTGTTAGCCCAACCCTTCAGTACCCAGCTTAGAGAGACTGAGTCCCCACTGCAGGAGCATTGGGGCAGTACAGAAAGCTTGTCCCGGCCCCAGAAACCTGGGCTGGTTCAATTCCCTGTATTTGCTGTCATAGATTCATGACCAGCTGAAGGTAGTAGAGATGCTAACAGGAGGAGAAATACTTGTGGTGCCATTTTGGGCACCGCATAGTGAAACTAGGTCTGTTTTATTATTTATTTTTTGTTTGGTTTGTTGATTTTGATTATTTATTTATTTATTTATTTAGAATAGGTGCCTTATCAATTATAACCGTCTTCACTCAGAAATGGGATGCATTTTCCCAAGGATGTCATCTTCCTCTGTCTGAACTGAAATATCCTACACTAACTTAGATGTACACGGTTTCAGATTCTTTATTCCCCTATTGCAAATTAGAACAACCATTCAGGATTTGATCTAAGTTTTGCCAAGGAGCCGGTAACATTACAGGAATGGAGTTGGAGGGTGGTTGCTCTTAAAAAGAAGCCCTCCCAAAAAGAGGAGTACCATAGGGAGCACAAATATTTACATCTACACAGATACCAGTGATAATGGATATCTTGGAGCTGTACTGATACTAGGCCCTCATTCTTCTTTAGAAATTAATGGGAAGAAGTGAAAAAGGAAACCTGGAAGGAGGATTGTGTTCTGTTCTCATTTACCCTGGGGTAAATCCAGAGCAAATTCAGATGTCCAAATGGAACTAGTCCAGATTTCCACTGGTCTAAATGAAAACATTGTTTTCATATACAAGTAGGGAATTCTACCTTCTTTAATACCATACTTTTAAATTTTGCTGTCACCACGGGACAGTGAAGTTTTATTTTTTGGCTTACATTTTACCCAGGAAAGAATTAATTGCTTCAGCTTCCTAGAAATCATTGTATGATTCAAGTTACTCTTTTTCATGATTTGTTCAAAAGTTGAGCTTAGTTTTCACCAGAACCACTCACTGCCCTAAAGCACTATTTATATCCCAAACCACTACATGTAGAGAAGAGCCAGTGGAGAAGTCAAATAAGCACAGTATTGCCTTTTAGCTGGAGTTGCACTCTGCTCTGCAGAAGGGATAACATTTATAAATCAAACACAGGCTTAATTAACCTTCCGTCTTTGCACAGGATTAGGAGGGCGGGCACAGTCACGCTGATCTGAAGACGCAAGGTGCTCTCACAACTACTTCACAAGATTTCAGGGATTTGAAACAGTAAAATAAAGGTGGGTTTAATAAACAAAGATCTGGGTCCAGGGCTCTGCTGGCGCTGGCCCAAAGCTGTAAGAGCCCTTGGGAAGTCAGTTTATGGCAGTGTGAGATTAGAACACAGTGCCCAAAGTGAGTATTTCTACTTTTCACATAGTGAAAAAAAATAAATATATATATATATATTTTATCTCCTGGATGAAAAGACAGTAATACACACTCTGGAATTTGAAAAGGGTTTGCATATACTTTACCATCTTGCAGCCTGCAATCATACGCACTTATCCTTAACCTGTCATTTCAGTGAGTGACACTACAGTAGTCAGAACCTCATTTCTCCCTATTGAGAGGGAGAGGGGAAATTCATCTTTGCTTTGAAAAAATGCTATATCCTAGTTGAAAGGCATTTTTCCCGGGAAGCCCCTCTTTGTTCAAGTAGACAGTCCAGTAGCATTCATAGCTTAAAATTAGCAGTTAGGATGAAATCAGTCAAAGAGGAGAACATTCCATTTTACAATGAAGTTAATTAACCACTTTAATCAAGATTTGGGTGCCTTTTTAGAAGAAGAGCTCTATCTCAGTCATGAGATGTGACTGTTTGATGCAGGAAGCCCAGGGTGCGTTTCTTGGTGTAACAATGTAGGGTTGCATGCAATAATCAGACTGGTTCCTGTGGCCTTTAAGCTCCAAGTCTACCAGCTCTGCCTGTGCTGGGAAGACTTTTCAGAACATATGTGCTATCGATAGGGTCATTTGAATGCCAGTATTCCTGGTGGCAAAATAAAAGTCCTGCTGTCTGCAGGTCACTCCCTTATATCCTTATTTTCAGTGCTGTTTCTACTACAGCTGCTGCCTGCACTCATCACCCAAGCTTTGCTAGTCCAATGCAGGGAACTGGTGCTAGCAGGGGAGATGCAAGATCTTTGATGTGAATGGGACATGAATATTTCAAGAATCTCCCTGAAGTCTGCAAAAGCTTTACAATGACCAAAGTGTTGATCCCTGTTTTCTAATTGACCCAGAACTAATATCTGTTTGGTGAAGCCTGTTATAAAGGAGGTGGGCCAACACCTTTGCTCAGAAGCCCTAGTCCATGGATGGCTTCATTCCTCCACACCCACTGGTGACAGCACTGGTATCAGCAGGCATCAGCTTGGGAAAGTGTTTGGCATTGCCTGGGAGCTGTGGCAGAAGAAAAAACCACCGATGCCTGGGAGTCGGGCAAAAAGTCTGGCTTCTGGTCCCCACGGCTGGGGAGAGACCCAGAAGGATGCTTGTTTCTTGGCTGATCAAGGTGGGGGTTCTCAGCCCCACTCAAATGGACACCATTTGGAGGGAGAGAAGTTTTTAGTTCCTCATTATCCTGCCCCTTTTGCTCCCATTTAACATGAAATCCAGTTGGGTGTTTCACTGTGGCTCTTGTTGCCCTGGCAGGCTAGGACACAAGACCAACCTTGCTTGCTTGATTTCTCC